AACAAAACCTGAATGTACAATTGAAACAATTTCGGAATTTTTTATAATATTTGTTGAACAAACCTTTTTTATAGGGCATTTTGATTAATATGAAAGAGAACACATTCTGAAACCTAATTTATGACATCACAACGCTATCGTGATAGCCTCATGTCAATATGCACACTGCCTCCTTTGTGGCTTAAACAATCACGCTACTAATTTAGTTAGATAATCAATTACATCATAAAAGGGTAAGATTATAAAATTAATTCGTTACAGTGGTCACACATATATAATTAATTTAACAGATCAAGTTAAGTATAATATATAAATTCAGTGTTGTTAATTCTCGCTTCCAGTGGGAATTTCTGGAAATTTGTAATAGTAAAAGTTCCAGTGACATTATTAATTTGTTTCCAGTCAACAACACTATTGTAATTACTGCGGTTTGCATATTGATCAAATTTGTAGATCACGTAAATAGAAATCTATTATATAATTTTAATCACGGATACATAGCTTTAGTTGCTTAAAGGGAGTTAGTAACGAGTGTAATATATTGTATCGTGCTAATACATGCTAGTACATCATGTACGTAACAGATTTCGATAAACAATTCTACATCGATATTATTGGATCAACTATTAATGCGCAGTTAATGTGGCAATGTGGAATTGTAGAATCTTGTATAAATCAACTATTATAATTCCTTTTATTTCTTTTTCTTATCCTTTCTTTATATGTAGAATTTTGTCATAAAGTACATTTCTGTATAGTGCTATATAGAATTTTTATTTTATATATAATTTACACGAACCCAATGTAGATTAATATAGAATTATAAAGATCACAATTCATTAAAATACTTAATAAAACTATTAATGCAAAAATAATACAGAGTAAAAAATATTATTTTATTTTTAATTTTTTATTATAACTTATTATTTTATTATATAAATAAACATTATGATTAACAAAATTTAATCAAGATAATTATACAACAAATACAGTATATTAGTATACTAGAGCTAGAAAAACAGGCTCCATTAGTTATGTCACAAAAAATTGGCAGTGACGCCATTCAGATTATATCCAGGCAGGGACACGGAAATTATGCGATTTGTGTTACGTGCGATTCTTGACAAACTACAACCAAATCACATAATTGCTAATTATTACATATTAATTTTTGTGTAACTGATAGCTCTCAACGAACCCAAATCACACTAAATCACATAAATTCCGTGTCCCTGTATCCAGGCTATTTAAATTTATATAATTCAGGATCCAAAAAGCTCTTAATCTTTTTTTTGGATCCCGAATTAGTAGTAATACAGCCTGGGTGGCTTGTATATCACGTCATTGCTAATTTTTGTGACATGACTAAGACTCGTATCTGATATAGAGTTGGCATGCGAAACTGTTTTTGGCAAATGGCGAAAGATGAAACTCTGGCGAAACTGCGAAACCCCTGGTAATGTTGAACCCCTGGGGAAATTCGAAACTCAGCGAAGATCAAATCCTCTAAGACCTTAGAAAAGACTGTGCCATGTTAGTAAATCAAAAAATATATTTTGCATGTGGTTATTAAGCACAGCATGTGTCTTATTTAAAAATGTACAAAAGCAATAAACAAAGTGATAATCTTTCGTTTGTATTCAAGTACTATTAAAGAAAACCAGATTTCCAGCTTTTGGAACTTCGAAGTAAGTAAATTCAGCCTTGAAAATTCAACGTCTAAAACTTGATTTCTTTTAGTAGCGTTTATCTAGTATTAATATTATTTATGTAAAATAAACCTATCTAAATATTTAAATAAATTTATTGTTAGATTGATGAGATTTTTTTTTTAATATTTCATTGTTAAAAACTTTAATTAAATACAATAAATACGTATGTAAGTAGTTTAACACTAATATTACTGGCAATTATTTCCCGATGCTCTAATTTATCTAGCTCTAAATCTTAGAGGAAACAAATTTGCATAAAATGAAAAATTAAACGTAGCCTATAATTAGGGTAAGAGCAGGTTTTGAATGGGAAGTGGGTTAATTAATTAATACCAAAATTTCACAAAAAATAGCGAAATTTTGGTATAAACAGTTATTTAAAGAAAGCAATAATTTTACGTTACAATTGATCATGTAACCTTATTGGCTTTATACCGTGTATATACATGTAATATACAAATAGAAATTGCCTATAATAAAATTACCAATCATAAAAAAATTTTATTATAAAAAATATATAGTGTAACAAAAATAATATGAATAATGTATAATATTATATAAATTAAATATATAAATAAAAATAATTATTATATAAAAAAGCTTTAATTATCTTTAATTGCCTTTTTATTGCTCTTTTTATTAATTTTACTATCTTTCACTAGTTTTGTTATCTTTTTCTAGTTTCGCCACCTTTTAGCAGTTTCACCAGTTTCGCCAATTTCGCCACCTTTTGCCATTTCACCATTTTAATTTTTTTTGGTGAAAGTTGAAACTAGGTTTTGCTATTCGCCTGTGGCGAAACCTCTAAGTTTCGCCTGCCAACACTAGCTTTGAGCCTATGAATGATAGCGAACGTATTTCTTATATGTTTTTCTATAAAGTCATCAGATTGAGCAATAATAAAGATTTATTATGAATTTCATCATATATTTTTAGAATTCCAGTTTTTCTTAGCGATACTTATAAAATATCCTTGTTAAATACTGTATTCACCAAAAAGTTATAGTTCAAAACAGGATCAGATTAATTTTATATTTTCAAAGACAATATGTCAGAATTCTTTTTTGATTCTTATTGTAAAAAAGGCTGTTTATTTAAAAAAATTATTTCTTTTTAAAAAATAGTATGCTGGTCTTTATTGAGAATAAATAGCAAATATTTAGCTTCAGTAAATATCTCAAATATTTGCAGTGAGTAGTATTTTAGTGCATTTTAGTATATCTAAAATTATTTTTATATATAAATCTGCTACTCAATTGTATTTAGTAACTGTGCCAATTCTTCGACAACATATTCTCATATTTCTGCTTAGCAATTTCAATTAATTCCGCAAACTCACCACTTCTCTCACACATTCCTCTGAGCAACCCATCAGATTTTTGCATTAGTAAGTATGGAATATCGAATTCAGCTATATTTCCAGCATCTAATTTTGATAGAATGAATTAATATTTCAAAATTATTAAAATTTTTTTTTGAAAGTGCATACCCATAACCAGTATTCGATCATAGTCTATGACGGTTCGCAACCTATGTGCAATAGTGATGACAGTACTATTCTTGAACTCTTCTCTAACTGTAGCCTGTATTAAATGATCAGTTTTGAAATCTATACTCGCAGTAGCTTCATCCATAATTATCAACTTAGAATGACGAATTAATGCTCTGGCTATTGCAATCAGTTGTTGTTGACCTTGGGAAAAATTTGATCCGTTTTCTTTGACAGGCGAGTCAAGCATTATTGGTTCTTGTTTGTTATTTTTTTGGTCCGAAATAGAAAGGATAACTTTCGATTGTTTTTTAGTAGTAAGGCTGGAAATTTTAGTTAAGTGTACACGATGAAGTACGTCCCATAACTCGAGATCGCTATGCTCGTTGAATGGATCCAAGTTACTTCTATTTTTTTTAAATAGATTCAATAATCAGTTTACAGAAAAGTTTTGATTATGCATACAGTATATGGATTCAAGATTTTTATTTACCTTATAGTACCATTAAAAAGTACTGGATCCTGAGGTATGATCGTAATATTACTTCTAAGATCTCTTAATCCAATAGTACTGATATCAACATCGTCAATTATAATACTACCAGAAGTTGGTTCAATAATTCTAAAGAATGACATTGCCAATGTTGATTTTCCGCATCCTCTTGTTTAAGAAAAATCAATATTCGAAATTTCAATAATTTAGAATTTTAAAACTGTAGTTTAAAATTTACCAGTTCGACCAACAATTCCAATCTTTTCACCAGCCATAATATCAACTGAGATGCCTTTCAAAACTAAAGGGCTATCAGTTCCATATTTCATTTCTAAATTTTTGATATGAATTTCTCCACGAGCTGGCCATCCAGGTGGTGATCTGTTGTCCGGTATTATATTCTCGGCTTCTACTTCTAATTTATCACTGTAATGAATTAAACGTTCTACTGAGTTCATATATGTTTCCTATTATTTGACAACGAAACAATTAGTATCTAAAGTGTCTTTACTGAAAATTATGAAATTAAATAGTAGGTGTATTGCTATTTTATAGTAACTTCAAAGAATTGACAGTATATAAAAACTGTATTACAGTATAACTTTAAAAATTAGAAAGTTTTAACAAAAAATAGTAATAGCGTACTGTTAACATACAATATAGTAACTTTAAAAAAATTGCTACTACCAAGCAACTATAAGTATTTTTATAGTTACTTTAAAGTAATTCTAAAATTGATAAATCAGCATTTACTGCAAAGGTGTTATTAAAATTTTATTATTTACTCACCAATTCGGCAAATTGTTTAACACACAAAATAAAATTTAAAGTAACTTGAAGTGCATAAGCCAATGCTAATCCGCTAATTGAAGGTACAATATTAAATCTAAAAACTATTGCAAACAAACTTGCAAAAAATATTAAGATATTTGAGATAGTTCCAATACGAATTGAAAGCCATCGTTGGACACACATAATGAGAAAGTATGCTCTATTTTCGATATCTAAGAATGCTTCATTATTTCTATTTCATTTTTTTGATTAAATAAAAAGGAAATATTATTAAATATTAAGAAGTTATATCGTTAATAATAAAGCAGCAAATTTTAAAGACCTCAAAAATCTTCCTTGCTCACGATAAGCGCGAATAGTCGGAAGTCCCAAAAGTGTTTCAGAAAAATGAGCATATAGTGAAGATCTTAATACGGAATCAAGGCCTGTAATATAGAAAATGTAGTAGTAAATTTTTTTTTAAATTTATATATATGGGTTAGTGCTAGAAAATTAAACGAAATTGATAAAAAAACATTCTTTACAAAAAAATCAATTATTTCATCAATTATCGATCAAATTACATGTTTTTAGTATTGTAAGATTCACTCAGTGAGACGAATCGAATGGTGCCCAAATTATGTATCTCTGATCAATAGTTGACAAGATAAATAGTTTTTTTTGTAAAGAATTTTTTTTGTCAATTTCATCCCGTTTCTTAGCACTAACCACATATATAATTTATTATTAGACAATAGTAATAAGGAATAATTACGCTTTAATTCGCGCAAAGATGCTCGACAATAAACAGCCACTAAATAGTAAAGCCAAATCAAAGGAACCAATGGGATAATGAGCCACACAAACACTGCTGAAATTAGAATAAAAGTTCCAATAGTGCTCGCAAAAGTCATAAAAAATATTAGACACGTCCAGGAAAGTGAGCTTTCGCATGTGTCAACATCTTTACTGAATCTAATTATTAAATATATTTGGGTTAGAAAATAAGAAGCTTAATGATAAGTTAGAAATGATAATTA